ACACATCTAAAACCTGCAGGGACACCGGCCCTCAAGGCCTGGAGTTGCCCACCCCTGTGATATAGGGCTTTGGAGCATGATATCAAGGGAGATGGGCCACGCCCCCGTCTGCCATGACAGTAGGCCAGCCAAAGGATACCATTTCAGCTATGGATCGTACGTGTTGTGTTGTCGGTTGCAACGTTAGATCACACGATCGTGAAGGCAAGAAGCTGGATAATGGGCTCTCTTTTCATCGTTTTCCGTCCTGGAGGCAACGTGAGGGATCCCATGTATCCAATATTACTAAACAAAGATGTCAGGCTTGGATTGCAGCGGTGAGATGAGCGGATATCGAGTTCTCTGCAATCCCCAGCTTTTTTTTGGTTTTCTCACGGTATTTTCTTTCCGGTGAGTTCTAAATTAATTCATATCACTCTTGAAAGGATTTTAGTGTTATTTTCAATGCGCTGAGGTCATAGATAATGAGATAAAACATGCTAATGTGTGATGCTGCAGAACCACGTCATGTCGACTGGCATTATTGCAGGCAAACCAGCATATGAAATGGATGTAACAAATCCAGACTGGGCACCAACACTGCACATGGGGCACGATGACATACCTGTATCAGACTCGGACCGGCACACAAGGCGTACAAAACGGAAGCGAAAAAGAGCACCCATCGGAGGTAAACAACAACCCCCCCCTCTAAAAACATACTAAATTGCTATCACTGTACACTAATCCGCACATAACTTCCAGATGAATCACACACCTGTCATTGAAATATTGGTGTACATTTACCTTATGTCTAATTTTATCTTACAGGCTTTCGTTATGCAGCTGCAGAGTCTGAAGGTGTGCCCCATGCAGAAGTGATCGATGAAGATCTGACAGAAGACCAACAACAATCACCATGTCATAGAGGCTGTGGACAGCAGTTGTGTTGGACAAGTGGAGGTTGAGGTACCAGCTGCAAATGTGGACAGTGGTGATTGGACAGACAGCATCACAGAAGCTAAAGGGCAGATGAAGGACTGTGTGTGCAGTGAACAGAGCAGAGCAGAAATAAACCGGCTGTTGGAGAATAGACTGCTTCGATCACAGTTGCAAAAGACAGAGCTGAATGAACATTTCTTAAAGGATGATACTGAAAAAGTAAGATATTACACTGGACTACATTGTTATGCTGTCTTAATGTCCCTCTTCAACACTGTCAAAGATTTCCTGCCAATATCGAAGAAACTGACAGGTTTCCAAATGCTCTTACTCACACTAATGCGTCTGAGAGGGGGGGCGTGCATCAGATAAACACATCACAGAGGAATGTGGCATTCTTCAAAAGCTGTTACCAGGGGACGTAGTATTGGCTGACAGAGGCTTTGACATCAGAGATGCTGTAGGAATGATGTGTGCGGAGGTCAAGATTCCAGCTTTCACAAAAGGCTACTGTCAACTTGATGCAAGGGACTTTGAACAAACGAGAGCAATTGCCCACCTGAGAATTCATGTTGAGCGAGTAATAGGTAGTTTGCGCAACAAGTTCAAAATGCTACACACTACAATGCCAATCCGATTACTCATATCATGTGAGGGTGAAGACACAACACTGCTTGATAAGATTGTTAAGGTTTGCTGTGTTTTGGTGAATATGTGCCCCAGTGTGGTTGTCAAACCAGTGCAAAATGAAACCTGCTCTTGTTGAGTATTCATAAAGCTGTTGTGTTGCATGTGTAGTTCATTGTGAATAATTGTACTTTGTGTGAAGTGGTTTCAATAAAACAGAAAAGAATAGTATATTTGTTTTTTTTTTTATTCTTGATCTGTTCACATGTACTTAGCAAGTACATAAAAATGAAATGCAAACTATTTGCATGGCAACACACAGCTGGCATTAATCTTGAACCACAAAATGAAACATTACAGGCTATTTAGAGCAGCACGTTGTTTGGAGAAGTATTTCCCAACAAGTTCAGGAAGGCACACTTTAAGAAAGAAATCTTGTGCTTGGCTTAAACGCGGTTCCCAGAAATCCACATCAGGGAAGATGCGTATCACAGCAAGGTCTCTCTGTGTCCACACAACGAGGTCACAGTGGTCATCTGGGTTTCCACTACACTTCCTTATTTCATACGGGTCCACATTACCGATGCACGCAATTTTTTCAAAGTACCGTCTCTTGGCGTCTGGGCGCAATCTGTCGCGATACACCCCCTTACAGCCCCAGTCTTTTGCGCTGATTTTGAGCATGGTTCTGGCAGTCCCGATTCCAACACTCCAACACTGTGCGCTTGTTCTGCTTCCTGGCCTACTGACATGGCGCCGCGATCCCACAATGCACTGCGGCGTGACGTCAACTCCAAAGCCCTATTGGGAGAACCTAATTAGCCAATCAGCCCCTGCTGCAGTTAAGTAGCAGAGGGGGTTGTTTATCAGTGCTGGGTGGAGCAAAGACCATCAGCACAGGAGCACAGAGGCTGCAGCCTGAAAATACACAAAGGGCATTTAGAAAATATAAATGCCATAAAAATGTCAAAAACTATAAAGGTCATAAAAAACAAAAAAGTCTGAAAATGTAGCAAGTGAAGCAATGACATTAACATTAACATTTCCAACAACATTAAGTTTTAAGCTTAAAATTTCCAAACTATGAAAAATCATTTAGAAACATCCAGTGAAAGAGAAGTACAGAAAATATATGCTGTTCCAAAAAATTAAAGAAACACTTTGTGAAAGTATTGCATCAAGTCAGTTAAACTTCTGGTCTGATCAGTTAAGTAGCAGAGCTTTGTTAGATTGTTAAAAACAACAATCAAACAAACAAACTAAAAATGAACAGAGGGAAAAAAGAAGAAGAAGATGACAAAACATTACCAACACCATTGAGAACACTAACAATATTAGTAATACGGGCAAAACAAAACAAAAAAAACCCTCCAATGCTCCTCCTCCTGTTAGTTGTATTAAATAGCTCTTCCACCATTGCCTCTCCACTCAGTTCTTAGACCATACTGACAACATAGTGGTGACTCTCTGTGCTCTCATCACTGCTCTAACATGTAAAGTTAAAATATACTGACAAATAGACCTCAAATGTCAGTGTGTTTCTCTTGACTTCATGTCTTTTTGTTGTTTGCAGGTGTGAGTGGTGTAACGGTGCTGACACAGAAACCTCCTGTTGTATCAGTGAGGAAAGGAGACACAGCCACCATGGACTGTAACCTGGGGACTGTAGCACTGTCTATTGGTATAAACAGATTCCAGGAGGAGTTCCTCAGTTTGTGCTGTTTTTTTTATCATAGAAATAGTTCTCCAACCTATGGCTCTGGGTTCTCTGCTCCAAAATTCACATCCACTCATCAGTCAACAAAAGATTATCGTTTGATCATCAACAATGTGGAGGAGGGAGACTCTGCAGTCTATTACTGTAAGACATGGGACAGCAATAATGCAGTATCACAGTGATTTACACTGTGACAAAAACCTCCTCACTGATACTTCTGCTTTTTGATGACCTTTCACATCCTGATAAACGACTCCTCCAACAAACACTGAAAACCCACCACCTTCAAATACAGTTTTATTTTTTTTTCTTATAATATTTATTATTAAAATCATGAACAAAGCAAAGAGGGGAATATTCTCATGTTATTCAGTCACAACTACTCAAATAATGATATACAAAAAAAGAAACTGTTAGTGTATGCTGTTATCTATAAGTAATATAAATTTAATAAACATCAGACTCAACTCTTTGTATGTCCCGTCTGGCACTGAAGCAATCAGAATTATTGTCTGAAGGCCAACAGATTTACCAGACCATTATGGCTTTTGCTCTTTCCTATCCCCTTTTACCAGGGGAAAGGAAAGAGAAAGACCAAGAAAAGAGAAGTTGGGAAGAGGCTCAAGAGAAGGAGACGGGGAGAAAAACAGAGAAAAGACACTGAAAATCTGTTGGATAACCTGCTTGGAAAAAAAACAAGCAAAAAGAGAACAACACAGTATGAAAACCACAGGAACAACCAACATAAGCATAAATAAGAGTAAAAAATAAATAACTGAATGTTATCGAGCAGCACACAAGACCGACAAATCACGATATGTTTAGAGGCAACAGCCAACCAAGATAGTGTGTGTCTGTCAGTACCTGTTTGTACACACCTGTGTACAAACAGGTACTCACCACCAGCATTATGCACCAGGATTAGTACAGGAGCGTCCTGAGTGTTAGTAACAGTGGTGCTCAGTTTCATCAGTCTGCACTAATATGTGTCACAGTGGTAACCCTCCAACAGATTGCTCTGCTTTCTTCTTCTATCTACTCACCAGTAAAAATCTGATTGTTTAACTCTCAAGATGTAGATGAGAGCCGCTCGTATTTGTTTCTGTGAATCGGGGGAAGTATATCAAAATGCCTGTATCACAGTGATTTACTTTGTGAGAAATACCAAAAAACTCATGTGACAAAAAAGGGGGCCCACACAATTCTATTACTAAAATTATCCTCTATATTTGAACTCTTTGTTCAGTTCTTCAATATTCAATAATGACATAACATTTTATAAAATGTTCTCTTAACCCTAAACACTCTGGTTTCGTGTGACATAAAAGTTCATACATTTTAGGGGATGTTGACCATGGAATTATAACAGTTAATTCTAACAGTTAGTGGGAGTCTCTTCTGTTTTTGTCCAAACATAAAAACTGGTAATGTTTAAAGCATCAATAATAAATCTGAAGGACATAGTAAACATTTTATAATAATAAAATATAACACCACAATTTTAAGGGAGAGGAGGGAGACATCACTATCACCAATAATTATTAATACAAATACTGAATTAAGCTCCACTGAACATAAGTCACCCAAATACATCACAAAATATGCACATTTAGCTCCTCCTCCTGTCACTCTCTGAATTCCAGTGTCATATTTAATGGTTCACACCTCCTCTCCTCATCCTACAGAAGCAGTTCTATCTCTTTCCAAGTTACAAGTCTCAACACACAGTGAAATCATGCTGGTGACTCTCTGTGGTCTCATCACTGCTCTAACATGTATGGAACGTCATTTATACTTCAGATCAGTAGTTATTTGTTGGATTCATATGTGCTTGTGTTTTTCTTGACTCCATGTCTTCTTGTTGTTTGCAGGTGTGAGTGCTGTGACGGTGCTGACACAGAAACCTCCTGTTTTATCAGCGAGGAAAGGAGAGACAGCCACCATGGACTGCAACCTGGGGACTGTTACAGACAGTGGTGCTCGTTGGTATAAACAGATTCCAGGAGGAGTTCCTCAGTTTGTGCTCTATTTTCATTATAGCAATTGTGGTCCACGCTATGGTTCTGGGTTCTCCGCACCAAAATTCACATCCACTCATCAGCCAACATCAGATTATCATTTGATCATCAAAAATGTGGAGTTTATTACTGCAAGACGTGGGACTACTCTGTTAATGAATTCGTATCACAGGGATTTACACTGTGACAAAAACCTCTTCACTGATACTTCGGCTTTTTGATGCTTTTTTTTTCACATGCTGACCCATTCAACAAACTCAGTGTAAACCCACCACCTTCAAATATTATTTTCATTGTTCTTTTTGATTTATTTTAATGTTCATCAATGAAAACCCACCAACTTTACACAGTCTCTTCAAAAAAAAACTGAATTACTCTTTTTGATAATTTTTTAACATTCATCACTGAAAGTATATAACATATTGACAAATATGACGACCACCAAGAACACAAATTGTCACATATATGTACACAATTATATGCATTTTAAATTATGTGCATCTAACATAATTCAACCAATTATGTGCATGTTTTTAAATAATACCAATTTGTCAAACAATTGTCTAAAACTCTGATAACTTTTGCATTCTATCTCTAGTAAATGACATTAATACACTTAAATGGATTTTGTTAAAGCTGCACAATGAGGATAAAAATGTTCCATATGAAGTGAAAATGTAGCTAAATTAAATTTTATCTGTTGCTTCTCTTCTCTCTACAATTCTAGTAAAGGATGTTTACACCTCACACTGACAACATGCTGGGGACTGTCTGCTCTCTCATCACTTCTCTAAAGTGTAAGACGTTCTTCTCATCTCTTTCATAGCCCATCGTTTTGGAGAAAGACATTTCATGTTTTTCTGTGTTTGTTGGCAGATGTTAATGCAGCAGTAGGTTTTCTCCACATACCTGCTGTTCACATTGTTTCTCCAGGTCAAGAAGTTGTTCTCAGCTGCAACAGAGGGAAATGGTTGAATTATGTTAGATGGTGTAAAAAAATTCCTTGAGGGGTTCCTCAATTTTGTCATTCTGGCAGCTCACTTGACTGTGGAACATGATCTCTATTGCCAGAGGTGGGAAGTAACCAAGTATAAATACTTTGTTACTGTACTTAATTAGAATTTATTTTTAAACTCTTTACTTTCACTCCTGACATTTTATTACAAATATCTTTACTTTTGACTCCTTACATTTTCAAAACTGACTTGTTACTTTTGGTTCATTTGTAGAGTTTATGCTCAGGAGTAAAAGTGGGCTGGAAGAAGTGCAGGTAAGTTGTGTTTGTGTTACTTCAGATCTAGCTAGCTCTACAGAAGAGGAGCAGGCATGAAAGTGAAAGAATGAAGTGTCAGGTGAAAGAAGTAACAGGTAATATCAAATTCAACTTTTTTTATCAGCTCAATAAACATCAGGAAACACACAAACTCTTTGTGTGCTGTTTGTCACACAGTGTGTTACTAGCTAAAGGTCCAGCTGCTGTATTTCACAGGGACACAAAAGAAAAGAGACGGCACCTCTGGTGCTCGCTGTCAGAGGCAGGTTACACCAAGTGTAGCTGAGATGAATTTGAATTTAAGATTTTGATGCTTAGATTAACCCATTGAATTCCAACTTTATTGGACTCTTAACTTTCTAGTACGAAGACAGTATAAGCAGTGTAGTTTCAGTGTAGGGGATGGGCATTATAGCTTGTGAAATTGATGGCATCTTGTTGAATTCAGTTGTGTAAATCCACAAAGAGCAGCAGGTCAGCTGATCACAGTCTGTATTCTAAGAAAATCTACTGAAGCTCATATTAGAAATTATTGTACTGTGATTCTTTTGAATCAGTAGTATCAAGAGTGAATCAGAGTATTTTTTAACCTGGGTATCTTTACTTCTACTTAAGTAAGGAAAGTGTGTACTTTTGCCACCTCTGTCTGTCCCGTTGAGACTATCTCTTTACTTTGTTTCATATTCCAAATGTACGGGGATCAGGCCATTCCCCAAATGAAGTACAATAAAAAAAAGGTCAGGATGCATAAAACCAGTGAGGCCTCTACACCTTTCTTAGCCTATTGGCAGAGAACATAATGACGGCATTGGTTACAGAAAATTTTTAAACTACTGAAGGTTCCAGTGGGGCCATAATACAGAAGTGAAAAGAACATCATTCAACGATAAACTGGCCAAAACCAGGATGATTTTAGAGAGAAGAGTGAAAAGAATGATCAGACGACTTTTCCAAGAGCCAAGGACCACTTTTGGAGAGCTACATAAAGACCTGCTTAAACGCATGTAGGATTTATCTACATGGGCCGCATGTTTAGTTTCCACATAAACCTTTGACAATGGTCAAGGCTGAAGCTGAAGATCCTGTTGAGATTTTTCAAAATAAACTGAATTACGTGAAATAGTATGCAGAGTGTTTACGGACAAGAAACTAAAAAGATCCGTCAGGTGCCTGTGGGTCCCCCACCCCCCGGAAGAGGTCCAACCGAGCCACGAGTGCCAGGCCCCGTCAAGCAGCCACTGGGAGTGAGCCGGTACATACCTGAGTGCCCAGCCCCGGACACCAAGAACCACCAACACACTGATGCCTGAGGGCATCAGCCACCAGCAGGAAGTTTGGTGAGGGGAGATAGGCCTCCATACTTTGGAGGGCCTAAGATGTTCCCAGAGAGGTGGAGTCTAAGACCCAAACTGACATATAGACACAGACAAACAGGCACAAACGTGCATTCCCACTCTCATGCACACATAAACAAATACTCAGCACTCACCCAGCCTAATAACAGACACAAATACACATTATGTACGCACAATCATACTCCCCAAAAATAGTCTATACCCCAGGTCCATGTACCCTCACCCCCAGAGGGGAAAACTGCACCCAGACCCAGGAGATGTTACTCCTGCGGGACCTGCCTCCGCAGCAGCAGGGGAGCCTCGCATCCCAGACCCCAATCGGGCAGGCAACACCTCCTCCCTGCCCCTCCGAGGTGGCACTGGTGCCAGAGGTGAGGTTGAATACACAGACCGTTCTCTGGACGCCGTATAACATGCCCACCCCCAGGCCCTATATGTATGCGTTATGAGAGTGTGAGTAATGTGGATGTCTAAGTTGTGTTTTTTGACCTCGGATCCTCTCAGAAGCAGACAGGAGAAGTTTTCCTACTCCATAGGTGAACTGAAGAACAAGGTGACCGTCACAACCAGAGGCAGATGCAGCTGAAGCTACAGCGAGGCCACGCAAGATGCGGCGGGCTGACAGTGTGTCAGTAGCAGTCACAGTGCTGTGACATAATGATGGAGCAGTCAAAGGCTCGCTTTGAGAAAGCACAGAACCTGGTGTCTTTTGACTTCAATGACGGGGTGATTAACATGTTTGCATCTCAGAAAACCCGACGATGTGATCTTCTCTTTAAATAAGGTAAGCCAGACCCCTCTCTTTCTCTCTCTATCCCCTTAAAACAGGTAACATGTGTGAGTAGAATAAAACAACGATTAGAATGGAATGTGCTTAGGTTTGCTCAGATAATAGGCGGCGGCTGGAGATCAGAGGAACAGGAAATGATTCGTAAGCGTGTGTTTTGTTGGGATAACTTTGTCAACCCCTATTTAAAGGACAATAGTGGAATTTTATTCTCAAAGCATTTCATGGGACCTTAAAGCTCTCCAGAATGAGATTATGTTGCTGACCCCTGACATCCCAAATCAGTGGGTGTAGCTATAAACCTTGATGGGTAAGTGTATAGTTTGAGGAATGTATTGACAGTGGGGGTCTGCCTGCCATAAAATGAGGAGTAAAAGCTGCCTCAGCTAGGTAAACAGGAAGAACAGTTACTAGTCTGGGGGAAATGTATTTATCCAGTTGTGAGCTCTAGTAACCTCCCTTGTCTCACTATCACTCCTCCTCACATGGAAGAGTGATTCAGACTGTGGCCAGGACCTGAGTTATGCTAAAGGTTTTAAGGATACTGAAAAACATTTAATAAAATTTCCACTTATTTGCAGCACTGTTTTGAAATATAAACAGACTGATGAGGGAAATGAGATGTTGACAGTGAAAGTTAGTCTCTGCAGGATGTTTCAGTTCCTCTCCCCTCATCAGTGACAGTCAGGAGGTTTTTGTACAGCCATGTATACAAACTGAATCACTGTGGTATTCGGACAAGGCACCAAGCTGATTTTAACAAGTAAGTGCTTTTTAAATGATCATAAAACAAGAGAGATTTTGCACAAATCTGCTGATGACTACTTAAATCAATATGTTTCTTGTTCAGCATCATTTTTTATGATTTTGTACAACATGGAATAGTTTCAGGTTGTCTCATATACAGGAGACATGGATTCGTTATGTAAAACAAAATGTGTAAAGGGGTCAAATAAATGTTTATATTTTTATATAAATGTTGTTCACTGAAAATGATGTGAAATATGTTGTTGTTCACTCTTATTATTGCCATAATGTTTTCATTTATATTTAGGTTCATTTGAAAAACATACACAGGCATGTTTTCTCTTTCTTCAATAGTAGTTAAAAGTTTTTTTAAATGAAAGAAAATTACTCACAGTAGCCGACATGTTATGCAGAAAATACGTTCTAGAATTAAATTGAAGATGTTTTACATGAAAAGTTAAACAGTAACTAGTCATATTTTATTTCGGAAAAATTCAAAAGGAAATTCAAATGATATGCTGGGTTATTATTTCTATATTGTTTTGCAGATTTAAATTATTTTAAAAATTAACATTCTTTTCAAATTTTATAACAATTATTATGTTTATTTCATAATGACTATTATTGATGTCTTGCTTTCTGTTTTTATTACTACTTTTATCATTGTCTCCTTTTGATTTCTTTTTCTCTGAACATCTTTCATGTATTTTCAGACTCCAGCCTCCCTCCTCCTGCCCTGACAGTCTTCCCTCCGTCCAGTGCTGAGCTCCGGTCCAACACAGCTTCTCTGGTCTGTCTGTCCAGTCAGTCTGTGCCTTTTGCAGATGTGAGCTGGTTGGCTGCTGGGAGTCCAGTGAGCAGTGGGATCTCTACCAGCACTGCTGTTCAGAGACCAGACCAGACTTTCCAAATCAGCAGCTCTCTGACCATCCAGACATCAGACTGGAACATGGATAAGGTTTATACATGTAAAGTGTCTTTGGCCTCAGAGACTTCAGAGAAAACCATCAAGAAGTCAGAATGTCCCACTGAATAGTCAAGGACCAGAGTGCACATTTAAAATCTGCTTCTTTACTGCTTGTGCTGTTTGCTCATTACAGTCTTTACATGTTAGAAATCTGAATAAAGCAAAAGGTTTAAATCATGTATTAATTTGCTGGTCATTAACAAGTATTTTCAGGAATCATGTCTTGCATTAAATTAATAAAAGCATTGATTTAAAAAAAAGTGTTTTCTTTTCAGTAAATAAGAAATTGCGTCACTGTTCAGTAAGATGACTGGAATGAAGTGTTAAATAAGCACTCAGAAGCACACTATTTTTTAAATGTCTTCTTCCCGTAGTTAAAACATAAATATATTCTGAAATACACGCTATGTAATATTTGTACACTAGAGAGCATCATTTAATAATTCTTCCTGAGTAACAGAGAGGGTAAGTGTCAAAGGTTTAAAATGTTAGTTATAGATTTGCAAATGAATCTTCACACTCAGTTAGTGAAGCATAACCTGTCAGCTCTTCTGTTTCTTCCAGGATGCACCTGCAGGTCTTAGTAACTCATTTATAACTTCAAGTAAATGAAGTATCAGCTCTCTGTAAAATAAAATGGAACTGCTGTTTACTGGCAATGTTTCAATTCATATCATTGTTTTATTCAGAGACAGTTAGCTGAATACTCTTAGATTTTAGCCTAAACATAACTTACTTACTGTAAAGCAGCACTAAGTAGAGTTCAGTTATAAAACTTAAGCCTTTCTGCATCTTTCTGCTGTCATTTGCTGTTTTGCTTTAAACATTTAAACCATTATATATACCCAGTAGGTACATCTGTCTCATTCCAGATGTAGCTTTTTTTACAAACAGTATTTTTAATTTTTTAGTTATCTATAAACTGTATTCTTCATTTTCTGCTATTTATTCTGTTAGTTATTTAGATGTTCCCACTGTCATGGCATCATTAACTTTAATAGCTGCACAGTGGCTCAGAGAAAAGCACTCCAAGGGATCTTTAACACCGCCCAAAAGATCACTGGCTGCCCTCTCCCCACACTGAAAGATCTACACAACACCAGCTGTCTTAAAAAAGCCCAAAACATCATAAAAGATACCTCACATCCTGGCCACTCCCTGTTTGAACTGTTGCCCTCAGGCAGACGGTACAGAGCAATCAGTGTAAGGACTTATAGACTCAAACACAGCTTTTATCCAACTGCAATAAGACATCTGAATGCTACAAAAAAAATGTTCATCACGCCACTCTTGTATTAATCTATGCACTGTACACACGGGTGATCACACCCACAAACTACACCCTTTTTGGCTCCTACCTCAGGGCACACTGTGTTCTGTTGGTCTTGTGTGCTGCACAGTGGTGTTTAGTGTTTGGTATTTGCTGTCGTATTCCCATATATCATTGTGGTGTTGTTTGTTCTGTTGCTCTTGTTCTCTTCTGCTTATTTTCTTTTTTCTTTCAGCAGGTGACCCAGGTGATTGATATATGCATTTTTTCTTCTCTGCCCATTCTGTTGGTTTTTGTTTTTTGCCCTTCTCCCCCGTCCTTCTTCTCAGCTGTTTCTCTTTCCCTCTTTCTTTCTCCCCTTCTTTCCCCCAGTCAAGTCTGTCCCGTATTCAGTAAGTGAAAATAAAAGAAAGAATAAAAGGTGAATCAAATGGACCATTACGGCAAGGCTGGGATGGTCAATTTGGTAAAGTAAATCCGTTGGGCATCTTTCTTTGCCTTTAGACAACAATTCTGATGGCAAAAGAGCCAAACAGGACAGGCAAAAAAAAAAAAAAAAAAAAAAAAAAAATCTATGCACTGACTGAAGCATGTATGTGGGAATGTATGTAAATGTTTGCTGATGCTTCTTATAAGCACTTTAAGTATTCAAAGTATTTTATTTATTGAATTTTATTGTTTTATTTATATTTTGATATTGTTAGGGATGATGCACTGATTGGGGACCATTTTAAATTTTGTTGTACCTGTGACAATGACAATAAAGATTCTGATCTGATCTGAATAATGACACATTAATATAAGATAGTATCTATAGATATCTAACAAGGACATAATTGAATGAAAACAAAACACTGGGCAGAAGACCCAGGACCATGACACATGAAGGCAATCCATTTCTTCCACTTTGTGAAAAGTCGCCTAGACCTCTGCAAGAAGGTCATCCTCTTATAAAGATTTCCCTTTATATTCCAGTTCTTTGTTTTAGTTTTTATTTTATTTTTTGTAACCAAACAATGAGCAATATTTAGCATGAATACAGTATTGATCTTTTTTTAATCACAACAGCCTCTTGAATTACTCCAAAATACAGCACCATGGTCTCTACAGGGATTTCACAGTCTATAGCTTTTTTCTTTGAGTAAGACTTGTATTGTTCCAAAATATTATGATTTTATTACATTTCCAGAGGTTTTGTGAGTGGGTGGCATTTATGTGACCAGACTGTCTCTTGACTTTGTAACTTATACATTCCTTTTAAGGTGTAAGAAAAACACAAATTCGATTTTTTCGAAGTAAATTTTCTTCAATTATTTCACCTTGTGTGTCACCCACATAGCAGATCAATCCTCCTTTGATATTTGTATGTCTAGTTCTTTTTCCCATTTTGTTTTAATATCAGTATTATTCCCTTTGTGCTTCTGGAGGCCTTGGTATACTTTTCCCATTTTTCTTTTTGAATGTTTCAATTGAAATATATATATCATGTTGTTAATAAAAAATAAATGAAGAAAAAAGGAAATAAATATTGTGATGATGTAACAGGGTGAAAGGAGGAGACACAGCTCCTCCTCCTGTTAGTTGTATTAAATGGCTCCTCCAGCACCTTTTCTTCAGTTCTTAGTTCACGTCGACATCATGCTGGCAACTCTCTGTGCTCTCATCACTGCTCTAACATGTAAAGACTTTGACTTATATACCACACATATATACTAATGTCCGTGTGTTTCTCTTGACTCTGTGTCTTCATGTTGTTTGCAGGTGTGAGTGGTGTTACAGTGGTTACACAGAAACCTGTTGTATCAGTGAGGAAAGGAGAGACAGCCACGATGGACTGTAACCTGGGGACTGTTACTGACAGTGCTGCTCGTTGGTACAAACAGATTCCAGGAGGAGTTCCTCAGTTTGTGCTGAGGTTTCGTCATGACTGGAGTTCTCCAAGCTATGGCTCTGGGTTCTCCTCTCCAAAATTCACATCCACTCATCAGTCAAGATCAGATTATCGTTTGATCATCAGCAATGTGGAGGAGGGAGACTCTGCAGTCTATTACTGTCAGACATGGGACGGCTCTGTGAATGAGCATGTATCACAGTGATTTACAGTGTGACAAAAACCTCCACACAGACACTTCTGCTTTTTGATGGTCTTTTTTATAAAAGACACACCCAACAAACTCAGTGTAATCCCACCACCTTCAAATAGCGGTTTTTTTGTTTTTTTGCTAGCTGCAAAATTAAAAAATTAGAGAAGAATCTTTGATGGAGCTCTTTAGTATGCACACAGTTTTTCAGTGGTGACAAGCAGAAGTTAATTAACAGTTAAAAGCAAGACACTCAGCAATGTGTTACTGTGAAACACGGAGAGACATTAGGGAGGACAAAAAAACAAAAACAAACAAACTAAGTGACACCATAGCTTTTGTGGAATCTGAACACATTACATTCCCAAACACCCAGTATGGAATAAAACACAGAAATACTGAAATGAATGTGACAGTTTACACCTAAAATGTTTTAGGTAATATAATTTGGTCAATCCAGCTCCCTTGAATGGTAGCAGAAAACTACTCACTTTTTGTTTAAGTCACGGTTCTGGGTCCGTTGGACCCAGTATTTTGAGTTCATTATGTTTTGGTACTTTTGCATCATGGATTTTCCTTTGTTTCTCTGGTACTTGGTGTTTATGATCTGATACTGTTGTGATTGTGATTATCATTTAGTAGCCTTTGGTCAGTGTCAAGTCTGTCTCTGTCTAGTCTGTGTCTTAGTAAAGTGTGTTTTGTTTCCTGTTTTACTTTGAAGGTTCTTGTTCCTGTCTGATGTTAGTGTGTGCAGCTTTGTTCCCCTGTCTCGTTAGCCCTGATCTCTCCCAGCTGTGTCTCCCTCCTGTTGCCGATTCCCCATTACTACCCTGTGTATATAAGCCCTGTGTTTTCCCATGCTCAGTGTCGCGTCGTACCATCAGATTATGCCTGTGTGTCCTTGGTCTCAGTGTTCCATCATCACTTCATGTTTGTTTTCCTGCCAGCAATAAAGCTGAGGTTTTTGAGTTTCAATTCTGTGTTCGAGTCCTGCATTTGGATCCTCATCTCTGCCTGCCCGCACACAGAGCCCTGACAGTTTAAAATAATAATAATAGTAGTAGTCGTAGTAGTGAAAAAAGTACATATAAACAATCAAAAATGATGGATGATTAAGAACAAAGGAAGGTAACCAATGAAACACAAACAAATACCAACAGCTCCTCCTCCCATTAGTTGTGTTAAATAGCTCTTCCAAATCTTTCACTTCTCAATTCTTTGCTCAAATCAACAACATGCTGGTGACTCTTTGTGCTCTCATCACTGCTCTAACATGTAAAGAGTCTGAGTTACAGTATAGATGAGATGATGAGATGAGATAGCCTTTATTTGTCAGTTGCAGGTCTTTTGCCCACAACCTAGATGACAGACCTTGCCGACCGTACATACAATACACAAACATCACATTGGGGAGACAGGTCAGGCTAGGTAGCGAGGAAAAAAACATCGAAATGTGTAACACAAAAGGATAATACAGGAATGCACAGATATCAACACACCATAGCACAATAAACACAGACAAGCAACATGGGAAAGAGTTCCAGTGTGTACATCTGATCTGGGACCGCTGCAATCTTTCGACTGCGCCTCCAACTGACCCGATGTCCACATCAGAGGGGAGGTAAGCGTTGGAGGTGGCGTTGGATCTGGGGTAGGGAGGTTGATGCGTCCGTGAGTGCTTATCAGTATCAGTATATGTATGTGTGTGCGTGTCCATAGTTCAGCTGAGACAGTGTCCTTCGCCCTGCCAGGCTAAGTAAACAGTCTTCCAGCCAACCCAGGTGGCCTTGTAGGGAATGGGAAGGAACAGACTAAACACAGTCGTTATCAGGGTGTTTTATTCAGCTCCGGCCTTGCAGCTGGCGCCGAGAGGGTATCCGCATGAAGTGATGTTATTTTTCTACTTTAGTGCTTTTGCCCCCTGGTAGGGTCTCCCATGGCAAATTGGCCCTGGGTGAGGGACCAGACAAAGAGCGATTCATAAGACCCTTATGAAAAGGACACCGAGGGAACAGTTTACCCTGCCCGGGATAGGGTTACCGGGGCCCCGCCCTGGAGCCAGGCCCGGGGAGGGTGCCCGAGGGCGAGCGTCTGGTGGCCGGGCCTTAGTCCATGGGGCCCGGCCGGGCACAGCCCGAAGAGGAGACATGGGCCCATCCTCCCGCAGGCACACCACCCGCAGGAGGCGCCATAGGGTCGGGTGCATTGTGTGCAGGGTGGCGGCCAGGAGCGGAGGCCCTGGCGGACTGACCCCGGCTGCCAAGACTGGCAATAGGGACATGAAATGTCACCTCTCTGGTGGGAAGGAGCCTGAGTTAGTGCGTGAGGTTGAGAGGTACCGGCTAGATATAGTCGGGCTCACCTCTACACATGGCTTGGGCTCTGGAACCAGTCTCCTGGAGAGGGGCTGGACTCTGTCTCAGTCTGGAGTTGCCCCTGGTGAGAGGCGGCGGGCTGGGGTGGGTTTCCTAATATCCCCTCGGCTTGCTGCCGGTACGTTGGGGTTTTTCCCGGTGGACGAGAGGGTTTGTTCCCTGCGCCTTAGGGTCGGGAACGGGTCCTGACTGTCATCTGCGCTTATGCGCCGAGTGGCAGTTCAGAGTACCCAGCCTTCTTAGAGTCCCTGGGGGGGGGGGGGGGTGCTGGAGGGTGCTCCACCTGGAGACTCTGTTGTCCTGCTGGGAGACTTCAATGCTCACGTGGGTAACGACAGCGAGACCTGGAGGGCGTGATTGGGAGGAACGGCCTCCCTGATCTGAACCCAAGCGGTGCTCTGTTATTGGACTTCTGTGCTAATCACAGTTTGGCCATAATGAACACCCTGTTCGAACATAAGAGTGTCCATAAGTGCACGTGCCACCAGGACGCTCTAGGCCGTAGGTCGATGATCGATTTTGTAATCGTATCAGCAGACCTGCGACCATATGTTCTGGACACTCGGGTAAAGAGAGGGGCTGAGCTGTCAACTGATCACCACCTGGTGGTGAGTTGGATCAGGTGGCGGGGGAGGAAGCTGGACAGACCTGGTGCACCTAAACGCGTAGTGAGGGTGTGCTGGGAACGTCTAGCAGAGGCCCCAGTCCGCAAGATCTTCAACGCACACCTCCGGCAGAGCTTCAACAACATTCCGAGGGAGACTGGGGACATTGAGTCCGAATGGACCATGTTCAGCGTCTCCATTGCCGAAGCTGCTGCATTGAGCTGCGGCCGCAAGGTGGTTGGTGCCTGCCGTGTGGTAATCCCCGAACCAAATGGTGGACACCAGAGGTGAAGGGAGCCACCAGGCTGAAGAAGGAGTCCTATCGGGCTTGGTTAGCCTGTGGGACTCCGGAGGCAGCCGACAGGTATCGACAGGCCAAGCAGAATGCGGCTCGGGCAGTGGCGGAAGCAAAAACTCGGGTGTGGGAGGAGTTCGGAGAGGCCATGGAAAAAGACTTTCGGACTGCCTCGAAGAGATTCTGGCAAACCGTCAGACGTCTCAGGAGAGGAAAGCGGTGCTCTACCTGCACTGTGTATAGTGCTGGTGGAGCGCTGCTGACGTCGACTGAGAAAATTGTCGGGCGGTGGAAGGAATACTTCGAGGACCTCCTTAATCCCACTGACACGTCTTCCGAGGAGGAAGCAGAGTCTGGGGATGAGGGGAATGACCCGCCAATTTCCGGGGCGAGGTCACTGAGGCAGTTAAACAACTCCTTGGTGGCAGAGCCCCTGGTGTTGATGAGGTCCGCCCCGAGTTCCTGAAGGCTCTGGACGTTGTAGGGCTGTCCTGGTTGACACGCCTCTGCAATGTTGCGTGGAGATCAGGGGCAGTACCTGTGGACTGGCAGACCGGGTGGTGGTCCCCATCTTTAAGAAAGGGGACCGGAGGGTGTGTTCCAACTACAGGGGATCACACTCCTCAGCCTCCCTGGGAAAGTCTATGCCAGGGTGCTGGAAAGGAGAGTTCGTCCGTTAGTCGAACCTCGGATACAGGAGGAACAATGCGGTTTTCGTCCTGGTTGCGGAACACTGGACCAGCTCTTTATCCTCTCCAGGATACTTGAGGGTGCATGGGAGTTGCCCAACCAGTCTACATGTGTTTTGTGGACTTGGAGAAGGCATTCGACCGTGTCCCTCGGGGTCTCCTGTGGGAAGTGTTGCGGGAATATGGGTGTCTGGCCCATTGCTACGGGCCATTCGATCCCTATACAACCGTTGCAAGAGCTTGGTTCGCATTGCCGGCAATAAGTTGGACTCGTTCCTGGTGGGTGATGGGCTCCGCCAGGGCTGCCCTTTGTCTCCGGTTCTGTTCATAATTTTTATGGACAGGATTTCTAGGCGCAGCCAAGTGGCGGAGGGCTTTCGCTTTGGTGGCCTCAGAATCTCATCTCTGATTTTTGCAGATGATGTGGTTCTGTTGGCTTCATCGGGTGAGGGCCTCCAGCTCACACTGGAACGGTTCGCAGCTGAGTGTGAAGCAGCGGGAATGAGGATCAGCACCTCCAAATCTGAGGCCATGGTTCACAGCCGGAAAAGGGTGGAGTGCCCACTCCGGGTCGGGGATGAGTTCCTGCCCCAAGTGGAGGAGTTCAAGTATCTCGGGGTCTTGTTCGCGAGTGATGGGAGAAGGGAGCCGGAGATCGACAGACGGATTGGGGCTGCAGCTGCAGTAATGCGGACGCTGCACCGGTCCGTCGTGGTGAAGAGGGAGCTGAGTGTAAAAGCGAAGCTCTCAATTTACCGGTCGATCTACGTCCCTACCCTCACCTATGGCCACGAGCTGTGGGTAGTGACCGAAAGAACGAGATCGCGGATACAAGCGGCAGAAATGAGCTTCCTCCGAAGGGTGGCTGGCCTCCCTTCCCTTAGAGATAGGGTGAGAAGTTCGGCCATCCGGGAGGGGCTCAGAGTAGAGCAGCTGCTGCTCCACATCGAAAGGAGCCAGCTGAGGTGGTTCGGGCATCTGACAAGGATGCCCCCTGGGCGCCTCCTGGGTGAGGTTTTCCAGGCATGTCCCACCGGGAGGAGGCCCCGGGGCAGACCCAGGACACGCTGGAGAGATTATATCTCTTGGCTGGCCTGGGAACGCCTTGGTATTCCCCGGATAAGCTGGAGGAGGTGGCTGGAGAGAGGGAGGTCTGGGCCTCTTTGCTTAGGCTGCTGCCCCGCGACCCGGCCCCGGACAAAGCGGATGAAGATGGATGGATGGATGGATAGTGCGAACAGCTCATCTGAATTTCAAAGCAGTTCTACAGTCCAACACTGGTCCCGTTGGAGAGCCGCGAGCTTCGCCATACTTGCGTTCTGTGATGTTGTCATTTCTTGTGCTCAAGGAGCCGATTTCTGAGAACTCACGGCAGTGTGCCTCCCCGAGATGTCCTCCAATTTTGCGCCAAGAGATGTTATTCTGGGCTAGCCCTTCCGAGATGTATCCAGTCTGCAGTCAGAGATCTTATTCTGAGTATTCACAGCAGCCGTAGCCTCTCCAAGATCGTATCCATGCTGACTCAATGAGCCCATTTTGAGAAACTCACGCCTCTCCCATCATTCCAATCCCAGCGGGCAGCCTTGTGGGGGTTTGAACAGCCGGTTCCGCTTTCTTAATTCTTCGATAAGTCAGGGCCAAGCCAGCTCTGATCAGCAAGAACCCTGTTATCATGGTTCCGAATAGGTAGATATCTTCAGCAAGGGGTGTCAATTGCATTTAGGGACCAGTTGATCCAATCCATAATTCCTCTTTTAGGTTTTAGAGAACAGACTGTGAGAGAATGTTCCAGGGAAAATACAAAAAACCCCCCACGAGACTAGACAAGGACATAAGCAGGGAAGATAAGGGAGAGGAGAAAAAGTGCCTCCGAGAGCCAAAGAAAATAGCTTAGACCCCATGTTATATTCATCTGTATTATCTTGACTCCATGTCTTCTTGTTGTTTGCAGGTGTGAGTGGTGTGACGGTGGTGACACAGAAACCTCCTGTTTTATCAGTGAGGAAAGGAGAGACAGCCACCATGGACTGTAACCTGGGGACTGTTACTGGTAATGCTGGTCGTTAGTATAAACAGATTCCAGGAGGAGTTCCTCAGTATGTGCTGAGTTTTCGTCATGACTGGAGTTCTCCAGACTATGGCTCTGGATTCTGAATCTGAATCAGAATACTTTATTGATCCCTAGGGGGAAATTGTGTTGGTTACAGTGCTCCAGTACAAACAGTAACAAAAACAGATAATACAAGAAATAAGAAATAGCACAATATATACAATATATACATATATATAAGTCACTTACTAATAAATATCTGAATAAGAAAGAAGAGCATGTCCAAAAAGGGTGTAGCTATTGCAGTGTACAGTGTGGTAGGTGGATGAGTTGTACAGGGAGATGGCCACAGGCAGGAGTGATTTCCTGTGTCGTTCAGTGGTGCTTTTTGGTAATGTCAGTCTCTCACTGAACGTGCTCCTGTGGCTAGCCAGCATGTCATGGAGTGGATGGGAGGAATTATCCAATATTGTCGTGATCTTGGACAACATTCGTCTCTCCATCACCACCCTAAGAGAGTCCAGCTTCATCCCCACAACACTACTGGCCTTCAGATCAGTTTATTGAGTCTGTTATCATCAGCAACCGTCCACCTGCTGCCCCAGCATGCAACAGTGTAGAGGATAGCACTGGCCACAACAGACTTGTAGAAAATCCTGAGCATTGTCCGACAGATGTTGAAGGACCTCAGCTGCCTCAGAAAATAGAGTCGACTCTGGCCCTTCCTGTAAAGTGCTGTGGTGTTTTTAGCCCAGTCCAGTTTATTGTCAATGTATACACCGAGGTATTTTTAGTCATCCACAATGTCAGCATTGACCCCCTGGATTGAAACAGGGGTCAAGTGTTTCCTGGTCTTCCTCAAGTCCACAACCAATTCCTTGGTCTTTGCCACGTTGAGCTGCAGATGATTCTGTTCACATCACTTGACAAATGAGTCGACCACAGCCCGGTACCCTGACTCATCGTCTCTGCTGATGCATCCAACCACTGCAGAGTTATCAGAAAACTTCTGAAGATGGCAGGTCTCTGTGCAGTGGCTGAAGTCTGTGGTGTAGAGGGTGAAGAGGAAGGGGGAGAGGACAGTCCCTTGTGGTGCCCCATGTTGCTGATTACCTTGTCAGACACACACTGTGGGAGACGCACATATTGTGGTCTTTCTGTCAGGTAATCAACAATCCAGGACACCAGAAAAGCATCCACATGTATCGCTGTCAGCTTATATCCCAGGAGGATCGGCCTGATGGTGTTGAAAGCACTTGAAAAGTAAAAAAAACATGACCCTCATAGTACTCGCTGGTGATGATGACTACAAAAATCCTCTTGATATTGCAGTTCAGGTTTTTTAGACTCTTTCACATTCAGATTACAGATTAATCAGGACAACTCAGTGAAACCCACAACCTTCAAAGAGTGTGTTATTAAATACTGGATTGCTCCTTTTTTATTGCTTAATTCAAACTATATACAATCTGAGAATATAGCACCAACTACTTTATAGTCGAGTAAAGTGCAAACATTCAGCAACCACTTTATTAGCTAAGCCTGTTCCACTGCTTGTCACTCTAATCCAAATAACCGGCATTTCACATCAGCAGCATCTCAAAGCATTTAGTCATGCAGGCATTATCAAGACAGCCTGCTGGAGTTCAAACTGAGGATCAGAATAAGGAAGAATGATGACTGAACATGGCATGATTATTCATGTCTGATGAGCTGGTGTGAGTATTTTAGTTATATATATATATATGTATATATATATATATATATGTACTGGGACTTTCCTGCTCAACCACCTCTAGGGTTTATGGGGAATGCACTGAATTGAGAAAACATCCAGTGATCAGCAGTTCTTTGCTGAGGTCAGAGAAGACTGACCATATTAGTTTGAGCTGATAGAAATGTAAAAGAAACTCAAATAACCACTCAATACAAGCAAGCTATGCTGAAGAGTATCTTTGAAAGCACAACACATCTGACCTTGAAGCTGATGGGCTACAGGAACAGAAGACTACACCTGTCAGCTAGGAACAGGAAACTGGGGCTATAATTTGCACTGTTTCACCAACATTAAACAACAGAAGACTGAAAAACACTGAACTCGAATGACTGCAGTAACCAGATCTCAGTCCAGTAGAACAACCTTGAAACATGCTTGAAAAGGAAATTTGGAAGAGCAGCTGTGACAAAAGAGTGTCTCATTAATATGCAGCTAATCAAAACCAATGTTATAGCGACTATAGATCATAGTGAGATAATCTTCTTCTAAATTTAGTGTGTATTAATCAGAAACACATTCATGAAGCTTTTTCTAATCAATATTTGAAATATCTGACCTGTGAATGTAAGCTTTTTTTGTTGAAACTCTTCCCTGTGATTTTCTCTATACCCAGTGTCTTCAGGAGCTTTCATATCTCTTCTCTTCTAGATGCATTTCTGTTAACCTCACTTGAATGTTGTTCAGAATGACCTAATCCTATTTTCTAAATGGTTTTTACTAGTGCTCAGAAACCACCAAGCGAACGTGAGAGAAAATGAGAGTACAATAAATAGAAAGAATAAATAAATACTTATTCATTGTAAGAGTACAACGAATTGGAGCACTTGTGCAAGTTCAATAACAATATAAATGTAAATATAAAAGTACAAAAACAATCGTAAGTATCAAAATAGTATGTACAATATACAGATAGCAGCATTAATAAAATATCATATATAAAATGATAAAGTTAACAGTAGATTTTCTTTTGCTGATCTAAATCCAGATACTTTCAAGAAATATAACAACACAATATTTTAATCTTATTTTATCTTTCCAAACACCAAGGGCTATGTACAAATGTGCAGGGGTAGGGGCTCTGGGAAATCCAGGGGGAAAAGACGGGGTTAATCACACTCGTGCCACGTCCTGTTTTATTATGATGGCCCCTTGCTTTCCCTGTGATGTTATGTTTAATTTGTTCCTGCTTTGCTTCAATTTTCTTTATCACACCTTTGTGTATATATTGTGTCGGTCCTCCCTTGTGCCCCATTCTGACTGTGTCTCAGTAGTTTTTCAAGTTTAGGTTATTTTTGCATTCTGGTTTCTCTTTATTTTATATTCTAGTGTTCAGCCCAAAATAAATGGCTCATTTTCTGTTTCCAAGTTTCCTGTTTCGCTGTGTTGTCTGTGCATGGGTCCACACCTCGCCTCATGCGATCTCTGGGCAAGTGGGCAGAGGTAGGAGATTCTGAACATCTTTCATGTGTTTTCAGCCTCCAGCCTCCCTCCTCCTGTCCTGACAGTCTTCCCTCCGTCCAGTGCTGAGCTCCAGTCCAACACAGCTTCTCTGGTCTGTCTGTCCAGTCAGTCTGTGTCTTTTGCAGATGTGAGCTGGTTGGCTGGTGGGAGTTCAGTGAGCAGTGGGATCTCTACCAGCACTGCTGTTCAGAGACCAGACCAGACTTACCAAATCAGCAGCTCTCTGACCATCCAGACATCAGACTGGAACATGGATAAGATTTATACATGTAAAGTGTCTTTGGGCTCGCAGACTTCAGAGAAAACCATCAAGAAGTCAGAATGTCCCACTGAATAGTCGAGGACCAGAATGTGCATTTAAAATCTGCTTCTTTACTTCTTTTGCTGTTTGCTCATTACAAAAGTTTCCACTCATAAGAACGTCATTTTTAAAATGTATTTTTCCCATAGTTGAAACATAAGTATATTCTGAAATACATGCTATGAACACTAGATAGCATTATTATGTAAGAGAGGCCAAGTCTCACTGGTTTAAAATGTTGGTTGTAAGCTTCAATAATATCTTCACATTTAGTGAAGCATCACCTTTAAACTCCTCCCTCTCTTCCTGCCCAGCATGCTACTACAGGTCTTAGTTTTTCATTCATAACTTCATGTTTTCAGCTTTCTGTCAACTAAACTGATCCTACGATGTGAATTGCTGCTTACTGAAAAATTTTTCAGTTGCAGTCATTTGGTCATTCACAAACTGTTTTATTTTTGGACAAACATAACTTTATGTATTGTGAAGAAAGTCTAAATAAAGTAATAAAGTCTATATTCATTTTTCTGTTGTTTTCTGAACCTTGTGCTGCTGTAACAAGTGAATTTCCATTAACCGCTTAAGACATCACATTAATCCCTTTGGGGTGGGATCAGGAAGGGCATCCAGTGCCCCCCACCGAATCAAACTTGCAGAGCTTCTGGCTGTTGTAGCATGGCACCAAATGAAATCTGTCCCAAAAATGTTCATGTACAGAGAGCAGGCATACAGAGCGCTGAAGCTGAAATTTTGCACTTAACATCACTTGTTGAAGAAATTTGCAATCTAATTTAAAATAACCAAATGTAAATAAAACCAATCACAATTGTTTTTTTTTAATTTATTTATTTATTTAGTAATTTTTAAATTTTGATTAAACTGATTGTTGGTAACAATGTAACTTAGAAGAAGAATGCATCTCCTTCAGCTGACATGATGTAATTTAACCGCTGTGAAAATTTTTTGACATAATTATATCAGTTTTATTTTACAGTTTATTTTAACTTTTAAATCTTAATGGCTTATTAAAGTGTGGGAATTCCAAGCTGCAAACTGTTTTTTTTAAACTGTTTTCATACATCACATTTGTAAATAGGCCCATCTTATTTACAGACATTTAGCTATTTAATTAGACGATCCCACTGTTGTGCAAGTCACCACAAATGTTGATGTGCCAGAGAATAACCTGCTGTGAAAATAATTTTCACAGCATTCTCAACTTAATAATAATAATATTAATAATAATAATAACAACAATAATAATAATATCAATAAAACGGGGAAGCAAAAGAAAAAAACTCCAATGCTCCTCCTCCTGTTAGTTGTATTAAATAGCTCTTCCACCATCATCTCGCCACTCAGTTCTTAGCCCACACTGACAACATGCTGGTGACTCTCTGTGCTCTCATAACTGCTCTAACATGTAAAGATTCTACAATATATGAAGAAGAATAGATCTCATGTTAGATTTAAATGTCAGTGTGTTTCTCTTGACTCCATGTCTTCTTGTTGTTTGCAGGTGTGAGTGGTGTGACAGTGGTGACACAGAAACCTGTTTTATCAGTGAGGAAAGGAGAGACAGCCACCATGGACTGTAACCTGGGGACTGTTACAAATAAAGTTGCTGCCTGGCATAAACAGATTTCAGGAGGAGCTCCTCAGTTTGTGCTGCGCATGTATCATGGCTGGAGTTCACCAACATATGGCTCGGGGTTCTCCTCTCCAAAATTCACATCCACTCATCAGTCAAGATCAGATTATCGTTTGATTATCAAGAATGTGGAGGAGAGAGACTCTGCAGACTATTACTGTCACACATGGGACAGCTCTGCTAGCAGTGATTCACACTGTGACAAAAACCTCCTCACAGATACTTCTGCTTTTTGATGCTCTTTCACATGCTGATAAAAGACTCCTCCAATAAAGACACACTGACACTCCACCACTTTCGAATACTGTGTTATTTGTTCTTTTAATTGAAAAAAAAATCTTAAAAATATGAATCATCTTATTCTTACTGTATATAACTAAAAATTATCTAAAAGTAATAAACATACATCCAGCAGAAATAAATATAAGAAATGTGTGATGTTTGAGGATAAGGACATTTGTATTTATGTATTTATTTATTTTTGCCTGTCCTGTTTGGATCTTTAGCCATCAGAATTGTTGTCTGAAGGCCAAGAAAGATGCCAAGCGGATTCACTTTACCAATTGGATCATCATGGCCTTGCCATATTGGTCCATTTGATTGACTTTTATTATAATTATGTATTTATTTTATTTTATTTTCGGTTGTTACAGACGGGACAGACATGACTGGGGATAGGACAGGGAGAAAGAATGAAAGAAAGAGAGGGAGACAAAGAAAATTAGAGGGGAGAAGAGATGGTGAGAAAGGGGAAGAAAGAAAGAAAAACAAACAAAACACCTGGATCACCTGTATGGAGATAAAAAAAAAAAAAACAGAAGAGAAAACAAACAAAAAAAGAGCAACATAATAAATACAACACCATCACAATAAACTAGCTAACAGTAGATAACAGTACATACTAAGTATTACATGTTATTGTGCAGCACGCAAGATCAACAGCGCACAATGTGCTTTGAGGTAGCAGCCAAGAAAGATGTAGGCCCCACCAATCGGCCACCAGGAGTGAGTCGGCACATACATGAGCGCCCAGCCCCAGACACCAAGAACTACCAACACACCAACGTCTGAGGACATCAGCCACCGGCAGGGAGTGTGGTGAGGGGAGATAGGCCTCCATACCTCGGAGAGCCTGAGATGTTCCAAGAGAGGTAGAGTCGAACAGGCTCACGCAGACACAAGCGTGCATTCCCACCCCCATATACACAAATAAATACTCAGCACTCACCTGACGTGGAGACAGACACAAATAGACACTGTACACACATTCACACTCCCCAAACATACTCTATATCCCAGGTCCAGGTACCCCTGCCCCCAGAGGGGCAAACCGTACCTAGACCCAGGAGATGTAACCCTTCTCTGTGGGGTAGAGGCAAGCAGACCACCTCCTTGTCTGCAGTAGCAGGGAGGCCCACATCCCAGAACCCAATCTGACGGCCAGCACCTCCTCCCAGCCCCCCAGCCCCGACATTAACAGAATGGGGGTGAGTGAAGACCTCAAACACATTTGCATTTAAACGTAAACTGTTCTAATGAATTTGCTGAGACTTGTTCTACCTCATGTTGTCATAAATTTCAGTATCTCTTCGCTTCTCAATCAAGTCCTGTTCACATTTCAGCTAGAAAGAGATGGGTGTTAACATCTCAAATTGACAATATTTTTGTTCCCCAGATCAAAAAGCTTTTTGTACCGAGTTTTCATCATGACTGGCATTCTCCAGACTTTGGCTCTGGATTCTCCTCAGTCAGTATGTAGAGAATCTTTCCATGAGGACAATTCACTTTACTTTGGAACAGGATTCTCCTCAGACCGATTCAACATTACATCATCAGACACTGATTATGATAGGTTTGTAGCTTAAACCTACTCGCTGGAACGTTGAAGAAAATATAATTACACAGCAAAGCAAGACACAAGGCACCAAAGTTCTCTGGTTTACTCATGCATGAGGGAGACCTGCCTAGAGCCAAGTGTCGTCCCACCACTTGACCTCCATCAGACTCTCAGCCAGGCTCCCCATAGCACTCCTTTTATTGTGGTTACATGAATATGCATAGGGTCATTAACATATAGCATCTTACATAGGTATACATGTAAACAAAGAATACTGTGTGTGTGTGTGTGTGTGTGTGTGTGTGTGTGTGTGTGTGCGTGTGTGTGTGTGTGGTACTGCTGATCAAAGGGTCATATACATGAAAGCACAAAGGCAAACATCCTTGACACAGGAAGAGGGTAGACCCCCCCTCACCCTAGATGGTTCACCCTAGATAACACGGTGAGGAAGTCCTGCAGCTCATCTAAACAAAAAGCACTTAGACTAGAACAGACGTAGCTACGTTAATCCTACATAAAACAATAAGACAAGGTACGACCTCTCTCGTGCTCCAGGATGTGGGTGTGCATTCTAGTGTGGAATACACACACAACCTATCACTACACAATTAAATATACACCTCTAAGCATAGATGGTTAAATATTTCTAAGCATAAATGACAATCAACAATACAAAACCTAACAGATTAACAGTTACAAGCAGGAGACTCAGCAGTGTACTCTCAAACACTGAGTGACATTATTAACACATTTAATCCCACTGGCAACAATTGTTGCGTTGGGATTAAATGGGAGGACTGTGACAAAACAAACAAACAAACAAACAAACAAACAAAAAACTTGAATGAGTGACAATACAGCTTTTGTGAAATCTTAAGATTTAATATTTTCAGTCATTCAGTGTGACACAAAACGTTGAAATACAAAAATGATTACAGTTGTCTACACCTAAAATGTTTTAGCTAACATAACTCAGTCAGTCCTAGTATTATAGCTGAAAACTATTCATCTATTCACCTATAAATATCTTTTTTCACCCAGCTAAACTCAAAGGGGACCATGGGGAGAGCTGTCCTTTTTGTGGTGCTTGTAAAACTGTGATACATGTTTTCCTGCAATGTTCCAGCCTGAGGAGTGGATCATAACTTCTGTGTTCTAAGTTTCTATGTGATGAGCTTGGGGAGGTTTTTTTCCATTGACACATTTATCCTGAGGCCAGTGTACATAAGACAGCACTTTATAGCACTAATACTGCATCTGAAGGACTGGAGAAGGAAGAAATTTATTCGCCGGACCTCCACCATCGCCACGGCACAACGGCTACGCCTCCCACCTTGGCTCAATGGAGGCTACCGCGCCAGAGGCTCTGCCTTTTACCCCGGCCGCTTCCTCTTCCCGGGGAAAGCGGCACACACGCCGCCATAGAACGGACTACTTTCAGCCACTCCCGATGGTGAGCTCCAGTGACTGTTTTTCGCACTCACCATCTGAGTATTCACTCAAAACGCACAATAACCCCATCTCTGATTCGTGGGATGTTTCCCTCCTGGAGGATTCTGTGGACTGGGA